GCGTCGGATTCAATTTGTAAATTATTTGGATGATCATAATGCACAAGGCAAACAGAAGAAACGAACTCGGCATAAGAAATTTCGAGTTAGACCTTACAACTACTCCATGGGCGAAGATGATGATTAATAAATTACATGAAAGAGGGCTTTCGTCGGCGTCACGATTGTGGAGCTATTACAGACCAAAACGCCAAGACTTTGGAAACCAATTTTTATTCATCTTCTAAAGAGGAGAACGAGGAGGAGGAGGAGGACTAATTTCCATCCCTTTCAAATCGCTGTATATTTGACTCTTTTTGTCACTGGTTTTCAATAAAGTTTTTAAAACTGTATCTCGTCTCTTGTCAATTTATTTGTCTCGTGTTTTAATTGGTCCTTGTTAAGTTATTAATTGTTTGTGTTTTTATAGTAATAAGTCAAGTTTCTCCCTAGGGGTTTTTACTGTGGAGCCAATTTGTATGCAACTGTGGGCTTGTTAACCCGCATAATTAATTGACTAACGGCGCGTGAATTGACAAGACCATAAGCTCATGAAGCTCTAAGACTTCAATAGTTAGTCGTTTCCTCGAGGCAGAACGGAGAAAACGCTTTTGTAATGGTGAGTCAAAATTGAAATAGAGAGTTTTCAGCTCCACTTTTTGTGTGTGTGTGTTTTGTTTATATATCCGATTTTTAGCGCTAAATAAGAAAACATGTCTTGCTAGGCGATCGCACCTCTGATTCCTATTTTTTTTTTTTTTTTTTTGATAGACGTGACTCTTTAGTTACTAGAATGAATTTTATTTAAGAACCAAAAGAGTTAGGGTTTTTTTCAGAACCATCTGTTGTTTTCTATAGAATTTGTATACCCTGTGCAATACTTTCTACAGAGTCAACTAAACAAAGGTTTACATTTTGGCTTGATAGGCAGTTTTTCGCTTCGCTGCGCTTCGACCTCGCTTTCATGATTTGCCCGAAAAATTAGTACGATTTCGCATTCGCCTAACCTCATTTTTCCTTTTGTACAGAGTCAAGTAAACAAAGATTGACATTTTTGCTTAATAGACAGTTTTTCACTTAGCTGCGCTTCGACCTCATTTTCATGATTTGCCCGAAAAAACTTAGTACGATTCCGCATTCGCCTAACCTCCTTTTTTCCTTCTTTTGAAGTAAAGATTTTCTAGTTAACCTCTGTGTCTTGGTTTTGTTTATAACTGATTTTTAGTGAAAATAATTTAATGATTAAAGATTTTTCAGTTTGTGTAATGTGCAAAGATAGCACGTTCAAAATTTCCCAATCAGAAGACTATAGCAAATTGGTGAATATATCAAGAAATCACTTTTCTATTTATAGATTATGATTTCAACATTTTCTGATGACGTCAACCCCTAGGGTATTCTGACGTCAATTGCTCCTTGCAAGCTAAAAAGAAAGTACGACATCGTCCTATCTTAGTGGAATGCATGACGTCTTTGCCATTAATTTAAACTATGGCATCATCCTATATTAATGAGATGCATGACGTCATCTGCGTTCATTTATACCACTCAAAAAGTTAATTAAATCCACAAAAAATCGGCGTAAAACATCCTTCCTCCACTACTAAGGTTAGAAATCAAGTTTACGAACTCCGTCGATAAAACTAAGTACCCCCACCTACAGCGATGCAGAGCCAAAATTCCGAGTAACTTTGCGACGTTTTTTTTTCTCAAGGGAGCGCAAAAATCACCTAAAAGTCGCACTCCAAAGGAAAAAGAATACAAGGACCGCCTTATCACTGGTTATTTCCGAGTTAAAACTAATCAACCAAGTCCTTCATTTCTTAGTTGTAAATTAGAAACCAAGAAAAATCTTATGCTGCCAATGTATCAAAAACGTGTAACGTTGCCAGATACAGGCTCGCTTATTTTAAAACATTTCGAAATGACCGACCAGCATGTTCAATCAGCACTGTACCAAAATTTTCTAGATTTAACACCAAATATTTGCTCGGGGTAAATATAATGCAGAAAAGTGCAAACTAGCAGGAAATCAGGGGAAAAGATGGTAAACACCGCAATTGCATCCTAATTTACATGATAGGGTTGCAAATTCAGGGGCAAATGCAGTATTTACCATCTTTGCCCCTTTCTCCTAGTTTGTACTTTTTCGTGTTATGTTTGCCCTGAGCAAGTTTGGTGTAAATCTTATTTTATGCGCAATGAAGAGAACTTGACTGGATTTTAAAATTCAAAGATGTATCTCAAATTTCAATTTAGTGGCTAATCTGTAAGCATAATAGGGAATCAGCGCAGTCATAAACTCGATTGAAGAAATTACACTCCTGACCTCAGTTTTTATATATTTATTTTTTACAGGTTGCCCTCAAAATTGGACTCCACACCAATCTTCTTGCTATAAACTATCCTCTAATACCCTGGAATGGATCGCCGCAAAATTTGCATGTGAAGCACTTGGATCTAATCTCGCTATGTTGGATTCACCAGCTGAACAACGAGAAATTGTTTGGGGAAGCAGGACATGGATTGGTTTGCACCGTGACTCAAGTAATAAGTCACGGTGGCAATGGATTGATGGTTCGTTAGTGGTTTACCTAAACTTTACTTCTAACCAACCAAACAACTGGAATGGTACTGAAGATTGCGTAGAAATATATCCGTCAAGGAAATGGAATGTCTTGAACTGTAATACTTCTCTTCATTATTCTTGTGAACTGTCGTCGGGTAGGTCACGTTATTTTCAGACAACAAGAAATCAAATAGTTTTATATTCAAGGAGACGTATCTCAAATGTTTTCTTGCAATTTTTTTTTTTTTTTTTGTATTTTGAGTTTTAAAAAAGAAAAGTCACAATGGTGTAGATTGAAGTAATAATAGCTGCTAAGGAACTAGCCTAGTATTTTATATTTGATACTAACTAATGCCATGCACTTGTGTAGCGCATTTTCAAGAGTTACTAGTAACGAAGGGGCCCTACCTACCAATCTATATTTTCTACACACACACACACACAAACCTCTTTTTTGTCACTAAGTCGCTGTTATTTGTCTGCGGTCATTGGCCTATAGCGGTTTTCTGGAGTATTGAATAATATTTTACCTGATTTGTAACACGATTGTATGACGGTTTTATGTTCGATCTGCAGTAACCACAGCCTCATTCCCGAGGGTCCTCTCCTACCAACCTTAAAATTTGTTACTGAAATCAAGGACACAAATAACTCCTCTGCGAAAAAGTATGTTGCTAAAATTTCCTTACGTCCTCTATTACAAGACTGCATGGTCGAACAGACAGCGAAAAGAAAAGTGTTATTTTTTTTTTTCTTTTTTGGTTGGAAGAATTTCATTCCATTGTCCTGAGCATTCTAATGAAATTAAATTTAAAAAACAACAAATGAGAAGAAAAAAAAAAAAAAAAGGGAAATTCAAATTAATAAAGAGCCTAAATTGAGGATCAAGTCCGAGATAACAGTTATCATTTTTGCTGTAGACAAAGGCAAAACGCGGTTATAAACTTTATGACACTTATTAGGGTCTAAGTAATCTATTACCAGTGTCGTGATTGTTTATCCTCACTTTTTAAACTTGCTTTTATATCTCCTCTTTCAAAGAATTTACGTGCCGAAAACTCTCCTTCACAAATGATGTGCAAATTTGGCCCGAGAGTTGTGTTTTATACAATCAAAGATACGGCTCAATTTGCTCATTTTCCTGCGCTACTGGAAAACAAATTAGTGGTGCTTCATCTGCTCGGTGCGGAATAAGAGGATACTGGAGCGAGAAAGTGAACGAAGTCAGCTGTAATGGTTCGTATAACTCTAATTTTTGTTTCTTACTTTTTTTACCCTTGTTTTTCTCTCGATGTTCCAAGCAGCGTTGAAAAAATAATGGTGAGGATGTTGTAAAAAGAATTAAAGCGCGAAGTCACGGGTTAATATCGGTCCATAAAAAAACGAGCTAGAGGTAATGTTATCCATTACTTTATTAATAAACAAGCAAATAAAATTATTTTTCATCACGGGAAACAAAACGCTTCCGATCTGCATTGAAGTATAGGTAACAATGCTCGGTGCAGTCGGGCCATAGGATCGACGTGGAACATGTTAACTCATTATCAAATTTTTAGAAATAGGATTTGGCCTTCTCAGCAGGTGCTAAAATTGCCAGGGAAAGAAGGCATCCACCATTTCTTCCACACATTTTTAAGAGTTTTAGGGGCAGCCTCAGAAACTACGATTAGAAATTGGATTGTTGGACAATTGAATTGTTTTCACATGAAATCACGACCGCCATGTTGGTGTGCCAAACCCTTCCTGTGGGAGTTGAACTTTTTTCTTATGTAAAGACGTTCTTTTTTTCCAATTTGCATAGCTGCTGGCCACGTGGGTAAAACGCTTTATACTAAAGCATTGCGAACAGTGAAAACGTCGCCCTACTATTTTTAAGTTTTGTCAGGCCCAGTTCAAACGTCGAACTTTTCATTACCAAACTCCTTCAATTAAGTACAAGAAAAGATTGACGTTTGAATTGATTAAGTCTGACATATCTAATTTGGGTCGACCCATGCGCACATGGGAATTCCGACTTAGGAACTACGTCGACTGACTTTCATGTGCGGAACCTAATGCATAAATTACTATCATTTATTTTCACTGGTAACCGTTGTAGACTATGCTAACATCTTGAAAGTGAATTAAGTCCGACTAATTTTTAGTTTGACGTATGATTCAACCATTGGACTTTTATCAGTTGGGTCGACCCAAATAGCTATTAAGTTCGGTACATGAAAGGTTGGATGTTTGAACTGGGTCTTAGTCCCCTTCTTTCCCATTCGCCCGTAGTGAATTATCGTTTTCAACATTTTAATGTATTGTTTCATAACTCTTAAAAAAAGAGCAAGGCAGGTTTTTGTGGAATTTTCATTGACAGAAACACATCCATTAGATTTCCAAGTAGCACTCAATCTTTGTGGCATTGCCTTTTAATTTGTTTTGTTATTTAGAATGTCAAGAGGCTCTCGGTATGGAGAAAGGAGCGATCACTGACGGGCAGATTAGTTCTTCGTCACAGCTTGATGCCAACCATGAAGCCAGCCAGGGTAGACTGAACTTGAAAGGATCGTGGTCAGCTTACGCTAATGACGCTGAGCAATGGCTACAGATTGATCTAGGTAGCAATCCTGTCACTGTCACACGGGTGGCAACGCAAGGAAGTAATTTAAAGAGCCAGTGGGTAATAAATTACACGCTGAACTACAGCGACGACGGTCTGAATTTCCAGTTGTACAAACAACAAGGACAAAGTGAACACAAGGTTAGACACCTCTGCAGACATTTACATTGTGGGGAGTTTGTTACTTTTTTAAAGATGTGACTGTTGCTTGTCAAAAAAAGTAGATACAGCAAATAGTTGACTAATTAGGAAGCAAAATAAAGTTCAGTAATCTGTTTCCCTGCATGTCACCCATAAACCGAAAAAAGCTGTTATCAAAGTAAATCATCTTAATATGTACGTTTTGAGATCTTCTGCAACGTTGCCCCCTTCGTTAGTGAGCTGTACTTTTCTTTTTCGACATTTCGTTCACCATACTTAATCCCCTCATTCAACTCCCTCTGAGGAGTCAGTCGGGGTGAGTGAGGCTTATAAAGTTTCACAAACAAGAAAGGGGATCATTGGGGTTGAGGATAATTTGTGGTCCATTTTAGCCATCCTTTCCCTTTTGGGGTGTTGTGGTCAGGGCTCATTTTCTGTACTATACAGTTCCCCTGTTCCTCAAAATAATTTTGAATTTCACTCTGTTTTCTGAAAGTAATTTTAATTAACATGTTCCCCAAAATTCAATGTTGTCAGCTTTCCGAAGTTTCCAAAACATAGAGTTGTAATGGGGGTCAAGCCTAACCTGTTGTGGAACCTGAAAAGGCATCTGGGGAAAGCGTAAAGAAAAAATAGTCAGTAGTTCTTTGGAAGGAAAAAAACGACTTCAGGCCCCAGTCTACTCGCAACCAAGTCACAACCGACTGCAATAGACCAGAGAAGCAGCAAAATTGTCAAACATTAGAAGTCTGACAGTACAGTGTAAAAGTTTATTCGAAAATAATCTAATTTTAAACTATAAAATCAATGTCCCCCTATTACTGGAAAGACTCAGCCGTTAACCTTTTCCCTGGAGGTCATTTCAGGATACCTCACGTTTCGTCCTAAAAGTAAATGGACAAGGTCCCTTTTGTTTCCCAAAACCCCTGCTCAAATTTCATATACTTGGTGTATGTTTCAAATTCCATTGTAAAAAAGTACGATAATCGAGTAAAAAAAACCCTTCATACTATTACAACATCAGTAACATTCACCAGAAAGCACTAGCTTTTATCCAAGTGATTCCACTTCTCAACCAAAAACACTCGTATCAGGGGTTACGTCTAGGTGTGCAGGAACCCGAGGGGTGTTCTGAAATTCAGTGCCTGGTAACACAAAATGTCATCCTTCGATCTTGAATAGCAGGGAAATGGCGCCAAAACCGTGACTAAGTGTCCACATAAAGGAGCGGTCATTAACTATCGGGGGGAGGGGTGGTAAATTTTGGGGGAAGGATGCGATGTTTTGGGCGCCAATTTGGGGAGGACTAAAATTTTCTGAGCCCGCCTTTGGGCGATGTGCGCGTACTAATGGGTTTTGTGTTACTGAAATATTAAGCACTGCTTGAAATACGATGGCCGTGCAAGTAATATTAACAGAATTGCATACTCAAAGATGAATCGCACGGTTAAAAAGCACTCTGATTGGCTGGAGATCAGGAGTGACTTCACGTGGAATAGCTTGCAATTTGCTTGACTTTGAAATGGCTTTGAAAACAGCGCACGGGATTTATGAATAACGAGACTGAGAACTGAAAGCTCAACAAAATAGACGTATGAATTAATTGCGTTCGATCCAGGGAATGCAGGATTTGTCGTTTTCGAGAGTCCGGTTTTCATTTTTTTTCCGGGGGAGCATGCCCCCGAACCCCCCTAAATAATTCGTACATTTGGGACTGACAGTACACTTGTTTCTCCAGTGACACTAGTGCTTAATGTTCAATTACAAAAAAACTCCATGCCTGGACAAAATGAATGATGATACCGAGAAACAGAGGTCCAAAATCTTCATAGTTCTGGATGAAAACAGAAGTTTGAACACCAAAGAAACTACACAAAACAAGACTAAAGCCGCAGTAAAACGGGCAACAAAAAACGTGCAACTTGTTTTCCAACATTGCTGCAAACCAAGTTGAGTAGCGATGTTGCGCGTTTTACCACCCATGTTCGACCCTGTCTTGCAAGAAATAAGGTTGTAAGGTTTGTTTTCGTAGGTGGTAAAACGAGGCAACATCACTATTCAACTCATTTTGCAGCCATGTGGCAAAACAAATTGCGCGCTTTTTGTTGCCCGTTTTACCGTTTTTTAGGTAGCCAATGAGAATATCATTAAATAAATAGGTGATCAAAAGTCTTCGTGAATTATGAATCTGGAAGAAAATCATGAATCA